GCGTAAGGTTCTAGAGAAAGAAGCAGGCGGAAAAGAGAGAGAGCTAACGAAATTCCAAAGAGATTTGCAATGAGGGAGAAAAGGAGGGAGGGAGGGTTTAGACTTTATATAGTGAGAGAAAAAAGACAGCTTGAATTTGAAGCAGAGTTGGGGGAAGAGAGAGAGGGAGAGTTTGAGCGTGTGAGCGAGACGCGAGCGGATACAAACTCGGATGTTTATATACGATGATGGGTTAAAATGAAAAGCATTTGACATTTTTTTAGTAAAATTTTCAATTCAAATATCCGAATATTTGAATAAAAAATAAATATCAAAAGAATTTGATTGAGGAGATTGTTTTAAAATTCCCCATGAAAAATTTTATTAATAAAAATGACTCAAATCAAAGTATATGCGTCCTGTACAAAATTTACAAAATACCATCACTTTATGTATATGAAAATTTATCAGCATCAGCAAAAATTTAATATGAGATTTTTCTCTAATTTTTTCAATTTTGTTTTTAATTTAAGAATATCACCTCATCTAAATTTGAATTGGTATCAATATTTTTTTGGTACTGTGAATTAATATCAATGTCAATATTATAAGTAAAAGACAACTTATGACTGTTCATTTTTAGATTCCATGCAATACTAAGTTTAAGGTTTAATTAACTAATTCTCTAGTCATTAATACATGCATTAATTTTTATTTTAAGTATAAGACCTATTTTTAATATTTATCAATTTTTTTAAGTTACCGTTATTAATATTCCCTCAACCATAATCAAGTAGCAGTGTAAGAAGATATTAAAAAGAATGATTATGATATTTTAAGAAAAATATATTATATTTCTTATAATTAACTAACTCACTTAATTTCTTTAATTTAATGGAATGAGTTAAATAAATCTTACATTAAGATTGGAGGAGTATTAACTAATACTGCTACATATTGAATATTCTATTTGGAAAAATATATATTGAATATTCTATGCGGGGAATTAAATTGGTGAAGATATTTTTCAAGAGAAAATATGCTAATAAAAGTAAGATTCACTTTGAAAAGGAAAAAAATCTCCTATTAAAAATTTTATTGGTGAGGATGACCTGATAAATTCTTATCCATAAAAAATACAATTACTCTCTGAATTTTATGTACACAAAGCATCGCTGCTCTAATTTAAGTCCTCCTCAACAATAAAATTTTTAATGGGAAAGTTTTGCCCAATTTTCCCTTCACTTTTTTCCTTGAGCTTGCTATTTTATATGATTCTAATTTGATATAATAAGCACTAGATTCTATCAGAATGGGTTAAAAAATTTGAAACTCTAGATTATAGATTTAAATAAGCAACAGAGGGAACCCTTGCTAATCAAACTAATTAGTTCCACATTTTGTTCCCTCTTTAAACAAGGACAAAATTGTTAATAAGGAAAATTGCTTTGCAAGGACTGCAAATGAATCGAGTAAAGGTATCGTCCAGCTTATACTTTTATTATCTTTAATATAAAACCTAATTGAGAAATTGATATTGATAATATATATAAGACTTATTTCATATGTTTATCAATTTTTTTAAATTAATCCTATTAATATTCTCCCAATAATAATTAGCAGAAGATGGAGGGAACGAATCAAAGAAGATACTTAGGGTATCTTTTAAAAAAATATATCACATTAACTAATTTAACCAAAATGTTAAATCTATTCAAATTAATTAATTAGGTCTTATATTATTATAAAAGTATTAAATTATGATTTTAATTATTTGTTGAGATTTGACATCAGAGTGTATAGTAATGACTTAGTCAAGCCAAAAATACTCCTTAAATAAATTTTAAACTCAAATAAACAACGTTAGGAGAACTTTACCTTCAATTTAAAAACTTAGTGGACTCAAATTGAAATTACGCAAAAATATATAATCCCAAATAATATAATAGAATTTTTTAAGTGTTTAAGGCTTTATTTTATTTATAAAAAAAACTACCAAAGGTTGGATCAATATCCTTTTCTTTAGTTGAATTATTATTTTGGATTATCTATATGGTATGATCAGAATCACCATTATCAATATCAAATAAATACTACCTCCGGTTCTAATTATAAGAGCTAGTTGACTAATTTGAAAATATTAAGAAAATAAATTAAGTTAGTTATTTGTAATAAATAGGTATTGATTTTTCTAAAATATCCTTACTAATCAAGTGTGCTAGTTAGAATTCTCATTATTAGAAAAACTACCTTCAAAAAAAATACATAAATATTTATAGACAAATTGGATTGGAGTCTTATATTTAAGATCAAAATAAAAATTAAACAAGGTTTTATATTAAAGACCAGAAATAGTATATGACATATATATAATTATGTGTGTGTGTAGAATGAATTTCTCATATTTTAAGCCATGTGCGACCTCAATTCCCTTTTTGGGGTCATCAATATCACTGAGATTAAAATGCAAGTAAACCTATACATACGGTGGCCAAAAAAAAAAAAAAAGAACACTTGTACATACATTCTTTTTCTTTTCTTTTTTTGACCAGCCTTGTACATAGATTCATGTTATAAAAATTAGGGGGTAGAAGGATAAAAGCAAGTGGCGGGGCAATAAATTGGAAAAGAAGAGAAGATAATGGATTCACTTTATTTTCTTGGCACTAATACTTCATATATGGCCTTATGGCTTCAACTATTAAAGTCTGAGCCCGGGAACTACAAAGAAGAATAAACCTACAATTTTAGTCCTAATCTTATTTCCCGTATATATCTAACACCCTGATTTTTTTAGCGCGATACAATTTTACTGATAATCTTTTTTAGTGCATCTAGCATTGAAATCTTATTTATAGTGCATTCAAGAAAAATTGCACCTCACAATTTTACCCATAACTTAAAATTGTTGGATAAAAAGGATAAACATGCAGTTTTACCCATAACTTAAAATTATTGGATAAAAAGAATAAATGTATAATCTTACCTCTAATCTTATTTATTAGGTGCAATTTTTACTGAATGCACTATACATAATATTAGAATGTTGGGTGTATCATAAATACCACTAAAGATATCGAAGTGCTGGGTGAACTTGAAAAATAAGATAAGAAATAAAATTGCAGTTTTACCATTTCCTATAGGAATCTCCTCCCAATTTTGTCCTTGGATGAGTTGCCAAATAGGAAGTTCAAGGATATTATTTTAATATCTTGTTACTATATTTTTTTTATTTAAAATCCAGATAGATAGCATATCTTTAGAATATATATATTTTTAATCTTTAGAATCTCATTAGGATTAAAAAATTTATCTATTTAAAGAGTCAGTTGTAGGCTTGTAGTAATTAATTTATCAAGTCATGAATAAGAAGTCTTTTTTAGCAAGTATTTACTTGTGAGTTTGTATTCTTGACAGCAAGTATCTGATATCTTTTATAACTAAGGATCTAGAAATAAGAGTTTTATATCATCAAATTTTTATTTTTATTTTTTTTTAGTGCAATCATCAAAATTTTATTGCTTTCAAGTTATTTCCTAACTTTTTAGGAGAATCCGTATCAATTTTTGTTCTGATACATTGAGGACAGAGGAAGGAAATTTATAGATTGTTAATCTTAATAAACTCTACTATAATCACAATTTACGCGTTGTATCATCAATCATCAATTTCCTAATACATTATAATCCAGAAGACATCCACTTAACCATATTAGACGGGAATATGACATTACTCTTGAACACGTCATTCTCCTTTTGTCCTTAACTATCTACTACATTCCTTTGGTATGAAGAAAAATGAAAAAAAGGAAGAGGAAAAGAAAAATTTTAATAAGTTCAATTTAAAAAATTTAAAATGTGGGGTTAAAAATTTTTAATTAATTTTTATTACTCTTTTATATTACTTCTTTTTTTATTAAAATTTTAAAACCCTAATTTTCTAATTTTTTAAATAAAGCTTGTTAAAATTTTTCTTCTCCTCCTCTCCCTTTCATTTCCCTCGTAACAAACAGTAGCTTAGTCTTTTAAATGAATTGGTTAATTAACAATCAGGAGGAGACAAAAACTCAACACTCAAGTGCATCCTGCATAGGAACGATCTCATGGCCATTTCTTGTAAGGTAATCTGCATAACTTCTCAGTGCTTCTCTATTGAGCATAGTGTTATCCAATATCCCAATCTTCATGCGAGCAGTGGGTAGACTTGTTGGATTTCTCAAGTCAAAAAGTGTATACTGGGCCCCCCTCTACATTATGTCAATGGCTTCAATGAATTCTATTCGATATACTACCGATACTTAATATAAGACTCTATTTGACTTTTATTTTGGCTTTAAATATAAGATCCCAATCCACTTTGTCTCTCATATTTATACATTTTTTTTCAAAGTAGCCTTTCTAATAATGATAGTTCTAGGCAATATATTTGATTAGCGATGATATTTTAGGAAATACAACAACTATTTAGAACAAATAACTAACTCAATTTATTTTTTTAATCTTCTTAAATTAGTCAATTTGCTCTTATAATTAAGACCGGAGGTAATAGTTGAAATTTTTTAATGGAAGATGGCATTCCACCTCTGTTTTTGGTCCAAGAAACAGGGATAAACAGAGCCAAAAACTCATTACTCTAAGAAGGAATGATATAATCAAATCAACATGCTCCCATATGATCCTTTTCTTGTTGCCATACAATGCAAGGATGACGAAGGCAGGTTTCTTCTTATGCTTTGCCGTTGTCATATATAATCTCATGCACATATTAGCAAGAAATCCTTTTCTTGTTCCAGCAGTGTCCTAGGAATGAATTGAACACAACGTCTAAAAGGTGGAATCTTTGAGCGGCTATTAAAGCCAAAAGGGTCCTTCTTCGGACAAAAATTATCACAAGTCACAACCCCATTAATCTCCCTCTCCCAACAACATGGCTGAACTAGCATTACCAGTCTCAGCAACATCAATATTCAGGCCCGTGCACGCAGAGGGGTGTATCTGCGCCATGAAACATGGAGAACCAGTCAGGCCCATGAAAGGTGTAGCAATCGAGAACCTTATGCTTTGTTTCACTCTCTCTTTGCCCTTCCGAATGAACTGATAAGTTTTGTTCTTTTGGGTGATAATTTTCTTTACTTTAGGAAGAAAAGTTCCGCCTTGTCACTGCTTATTCAAAATCGAGTCCTTTTCGTTGCTTTCAAAGGCTTCGTTAGAGAATTACACCTCGGAAGAATTCGAAGCAGGGGGCTACCAATGGCATGTTCTCATTCTTGTTCTTTTGCATTCAAATTATTTGAATTCTTTTGAGGAAAAAAAGATGATGACATGCCGTTATTAATTGCAGGACTCTATCCATATATCCAACTGGTAACAAGAAAAAAGACGGGGAAGATCATATCTCCGTATATTTGAATCTGGTTGTTTCAAGCTCAAGCTCATTTCCTGCTGGTTGGGAGGTCAATGCTATTGTAAATTTGTTTGTATATGATTTTCTTCGCGAAGAGTATTTTTCTTATGAAGGTACTTTACAAGCACACATGCCATTTAGCCAAGCGTTTTATTAGTATGTTTGATTGATTAGCCTATTTTGAGGTAAACACGTTGTCTCGTAAACTGCACAAGACCATTTTAGAAGTTACTTTTTAATATGCATTGACTTTCCTAAATTATCATCTTTAATTATGTGTATTGGAATTACGTTTTGGTGGGAGCTTTTTGTAATTAATTGGGGTATTTTGAAAAAAAATTACATACTTGAATAACAAAATATAAAAAATAGTTGGAGATTTAATTTAATTCTAAATATAAAACCCCAATTCACTTTATTTATAATATTTATTTATTTTGCCCCAAACACGTGTTCAGGAGGTTTTATTAAGAGAAAATTTTAATGCATGTAATTGGTTGGAGTATTTTGGAAAACATAACATTGGTTTATTACAAATAACTAACTTAACTAATTTTATTAATATCTTTACATTAGTTATCTTGCTCTTATATTAACGATTGAAGGCAGTATTAAGTAAAGGGGAGATAGTACTGTGCATATGTTGTTAACTCAGTTGCTGAAATGCAGACGCAGGCACAAAGCGTTTTCATAAGCTGCAAACTCAATGGGGCATTCCAAAGTTCATCGACCTCGACTTGTTCGAGCACCCTTCAAATGGATTTTTGATTGGGGATGCCTGCGTTTTGGGAGCCGAAATCTTTGTGATCAAGCCTCCTTCCAAGCAAGAATGCCTGTCAATTATAGAAGAACCTCCTCTTCTTTCTTATAGGTGGAGATTCGACAATTTTTCAAGAGCTAGTCTGGAAAAGTACGAGTCTGCACTTTTCTTTGCTGGGGACTACAAATGGTATGAAACTATGCTTCCTAATCTCTTGGCCAATCGCCTAGCTACTAACGTTTTTGGTGGAATATTGGTTCTTATATGCTCGAGTTTGGGTCCCTAATGTGCTTTCTCCTAATATTTTCTTGTTTTGGGTAATGTGCCAATCTTCAAAATGTGTTTTTTTTAATTCAATTTTTCATAAAATGAGTTATATTTCGATATCTTGCAATGATAAAATGGTGCAACAATAAATCTTTAACATTTTTTCAAAAAAAAAAATTGACATATGTACCGCACAATTTCATCAGCATAAAATATTAAAATGTCACTCATTTTATACGAAACATAATTATGAAGGGGAAGATTGAGGTATATTGATGCATTTATTGATTTAATCCTCACCCAAAAGAAAAAGACAATGAGATTAATTAACATAGGTCTTCTTCTCATGAGTTTCAAAAAGTTCTGGGATTTGCCTGCCATCCTTTAAAGAAGGAGTTACTTACTTACCCTTAATGAGATTTGTTGTCTCTTTTTGTTGATTAATAAAAGTTACATTATCTTCATAATTCCTTTTCCTAAATCATATTTTAAATGCATGAAATATCTTATTTTGGTATTATTGCTGCAGGAAACTCGTTGTCTACCCTAATGGGATATATGAGGGAAAAGGCAATAGTGTCTCACTGTTTCTGACCATAGACACCCCGTCAATTCCACCCAACACTAAAATATATGTGCACTGCAATTTGCGTGTCAAGGATCAGATCAAGGGGCGCCATGTCGAAACAAAATGTGAGATCCACAACTAAATAAATTTTGTTTTATATTATCTGCGGTCTTTAATATAAGAGTTATATAACTAATTTAAAAATTAGTTAAGTTAGTTATTTGTCGTAAATATGTGTTCATCTTTCTAAACCATTTATTTTTAATCATGTGTATTAGATCGTTAAAATCATTCCTTGACAAGAACCTCTTGTAATATATAGGGATATTAAAAAAAAAACAAATAAACAAAGTGAATTAAGGTCTTATCTTTAGAATCAAACCTAATCCCTTAAACCAGTTCTTATATTAACAATCAGATATAGAATATTTTAAATTAGAAACTTCAATGGAGCACATGTTTAAGATTGATCTCAAGAAGATATGTCCATCTTTTCCCCCATTTTTCAGTCTACAGGCACTTCTCCAGCTCGGATCATACATGGGGATCAAGAACGCTGTTGCCATTGGCTGGCCTGAAGGACCCTGCTGAAGGCTTTTTATATGGAAATAGCTGCATCATGGAAGCGGAGTTTAAAGTCCTGGGCTTACTGAAAGCCCTGTGATCAGCTCATGATATATGATTAAAGAATTCATTGTAACCGTGTGAAATATATATTTGTATATTGGTATTCGATTCAATAAAAAATTGAAAAAAAATTCTTATTAAATATTTTATTGATAAAAATGGTCTGATAATTTTTTATACACAGGAAGTACTGTCATTCTACAGATTACTGGTGCTCTAATTTAGGTTATCCTTATCAATAAAACTTTTGATATATAGGAGATTTTTTAATCAAATTTCTCTAAAAAAAATTCACAGAGTCGCATAATTTAATAGTTCAAATTTATTGTGGGGACTGCTGGTAAAAAAAAAAATTATTGTGGGGACATGATGTAACCATATTTAATGAAAAATTCGCCAAGTAAGTGATTAATTTAAATTGACTTAATGGCCATGATATTTTTATATAATTTGAAAAATTTTATATGTATTTTTGTATAAAAAAACTTATGATGTCGCATACGTATAGCCCAATACTTTATGAAAAATAATTCAGAATATCTTCAAATTATTTTCGACTTGAAATTAATATCTACGTGTTTCCGAGTGGGAAAAGTCAAAGTCAATATAACTTTGTTGCGTTGTATACCCCTTTGACATAGACTTCATCAAATGTGCGGGTAAGGTGGCGAAATACGGTGCATAAGAAGTGGATGGTAGAGATTGAATCTAACGTGAACGAGGAATCCACATGCTCAAATCATGGGTGGCGATTCTGTGCTGCCGCCAACAGAGGCAGAGAGATGCTCCTTTTCAAAACTAGCCCTCCGATCGATCATTTTGCCAACGATCATGGATAGCTATTATGTAATGTCACGGAAAGCCAAGACATATTCCTTCCCTTCTCACCGGAAAGCAGGCAAGAACCCCTGCTTTTGTGGCTGGGGGAATAATTCCTTTTCACGCTATTTATATTCATTTTATTTAATTAGTTAATTATTTTTTTACCAGATTATTTAATTATTGATAAAGACGTAGATTCTGGCAGATTATTAGGCCACATTTTCTGTGGCTCTAATTTTATTATTATAATATATGGAATTTGATTTGAGGATTGAGAGATTTTGTGCGTAATTTCGGTGTTATTTAGTATAGATTTTTTAATAATTATAAATTAAAACTCATTACGTTTTGTTGTCAAAATATTTTTTTGATGCACTGGAAAAATTTGTCAAAATATTTTATTAAACATTAAAGATTACGTCATTGGACTGAGGTTTTTTTTTTATAAAACAAATTTGAAATAACTAAGTTTTATTTTTTGTATTGAAATATTTTAAACACTAAGAAATAAGTTCTTCATTATACAAAACATTAGGTTGAATTTTTCAATTTTTCCACTCTGTCTAACAATAAAAAATTATTCATTCCTATAGGCACTCTTTGATCCCAGATGCTTGCTTTGGTCCTGATAAAGAGAACACATGCTTAGGTCCAAATATTCTTTCTTTGTTTAAATTACCTTTAGGTTTAATTTTTAACATGTGAAATTAAAATAATTTTTTACGTTTTATAAGTTAAGGTGGTAGATATTTATTTTAAACCTTAAAAATTTGATGGTTAGGGTATTAGTCATTCAACCCAAAGAGACCCAAAACGTCACACTGTTTGTTTGGAGCAGAAAGGGAGTGGCCCAATGGCTTCATTTAATTCGGATGAATTGGATCATAATTAGCAAGTATTGGGTCAAGTTCAGAAATTTGCAGGACCATCTGATGGTCTGTCGCGTGTTAAAAATTGCTCACATTCTTTTAGGTCAGTGCTACCAAAAAAAAATTCTTCTTCATCAACAAGTATTGATCTAAGTAGAAGGAATTTAAGTACTTTAAACATCATGTTTTAAGTTTAATCTTTGAGACAGTGTATATGAAGAAAATATTATTGGGAGGGGTTTCCACCATGGCACTTATAGTGCTTTAAGAGATTAGTTTTTTATCATACAGGTGAAAGATATTTTGGGCAACCCAAAGAAAAAAAATCTTCTTTTAATGACTAACAGAGTTGGATCTAGTAAAAAAAAGTTAGTCCTTTATAGCTCAATGAATTAAGATTTGAATTCTTATTGGAAGATTTGACTCAGATTTAATGTCCAACAGTACCTTGGATATGATTGCTTTCAATAAGAGGATACTCGTGCCTAACATTTTTTTAAAAAAAAGCTTCCTTGAACGCATGTAAAATATCCCTATTTACTTAATGAATCAAAATTTGCCGCATCATAATTAAGAACAATCTCAATATTTCCATTTAAGAAAAATAATTTCAATAGTTTTCTAACCTAGTGGTATGAAAGCTTTCAAGTGAAAGGTTGTGGGCTCAATCTTACTTTATATGGACCTTTTATGTTGTTTGTTTTATGGACTTAAAATTTAGGAAAAATCTTAAAAAATTAACTGTTGAATTTTAAAATTTCAAATCAGTATTAATTACTATACTCGTAAAGAAAATAACTACACTAAAAAAATAAATAATAACACATTTTTGTAGTAATTCCTAATCTAGAATTTTAAAATTCAACAATGATTTTTTTTTGGGGATTTTCCTAAAATTTAACACAAATTATTATGCTTTTATATATTATCTTTCACAAAGATGTGTGAAACGTTTTAGCTATTGTTTGTGTTAAATGTGATAACTGTCAGTCTAATTAGGAATCGCTTTTTCAAAGGATTTTTTCTGCATTTTTTTTAAAGAAAAGGCAAATAACAATGCTAGGGCTAATGCAGGAGTTAGTAAAACTCAAATTCGAGATCCGTCTTTAAAAGGCTAAAGCCCTCCTCACTAGAACTGATGTTTATTACTTGTCCCCCCCCCCCCCAAAACAAAAACACACAAAAAAAAAGAGAATGCTCAGATGAGCACATGGGAGACAGGTGAGAAGAGGTGGTGGGGTGAAGGCAATTTCAGGTTAAAACAAGGATAATTTTGTCCCGAATTTTTCAATCCCAGGATAGCTTCAGCAATTCCTCAGTCGCAAGGTACTTCCAGACCCTCCTACCAAACGAGACCATCTGGGCCAATCCCCGTCTCTATCCTAATGCCAACCTCTCAGTCCCGTGTACTACCTCCGATCATTAATATAAAATTTTATTTAATTTTTATTTTAGTTAAAAATATAATATTTTAATTCATTTTGTTTTTTATGTTTAGACTTTTTTTTAATATAATCCTTCTAATAATATTAGTTCTAGCCAATATATTTGATTAGTAAGAATATTTTAGGAAAAAGAACACGTATTTATTACAAATAACTAATTTAACTTATTTTTTTAATTTTCTCAAATTAACCAAGTAGCTCTTATAAATAAGACCAGAGGTAGTACCAAACAAGGCCACATACTTCCATGGCTATACTCATCTACATTTGTTGAAACAGCGCCACCACATCCATATTCTGCATATAATTAAATTTACGCAAATTGAAAAAAAAATCAAGCTCTTGCTTATGAAACAAATTATAAACCGATATAAAAAATGTTTTCTACTATTATAAGAGTATTACAGAATGGATTTTATATTAAATATCAGAGAGTGCTATTAAATTTCCTACACCAATTGTTTTTTTGGCTTTCAACACACTATTCAAACTCTATGCAACCAAAAAAATATGCAGAGGTAGTTTGAACAGATTTTAAGCGGAATAACCTTTATTTGGCAATTTGTTCTTGCATTTATTTGTTTGTTTGTTTAAATTCGTGAGTGGAGGAAAAAAGTGCAGATACAATTTTCAGGACACGTGGATCCAGTTTTCCAACCATAATATACGGCACAATGTCAACTTCAAAACCATTCAAAGTGATAATAATAGTTAAAGTGTTAGCAGTCTAATTATAATTAAATTGGGATAACTCAGTTATGATGATCAAAATAGTACTCTACCTCTTGTCTTTTATGAAAGAGTTATTTAATAAATTTGAGCAGATTAAAGATTAAAGCAGTTAGATAAATTCATTAGTTCATTATAATAAATATGACTTGATCTTGAAAACACACTTATATGTAATATTTTATTTTATTTATTAGTTTAGATTAGGTAAATTAGTTTGGAAAACAAATATTTGTGAAAATATTTGGCAGTTTTAACAATAAATTAAAATCGTCAAGTATTGTAACCTATTAATTGTCTTCTTGTATTAAATGCTTAACGATTATTGAGAATAACTATCAAGTATTTGCCAAGTAATACTCAATATAGGTAAACAAATAAAAAAAAATCTCAAGTTGCTTAACGATTTTTAATCTAATTTATTTTTGTGAATTTTAATTGAAATAATATACTACCTCTGATCTTTAATATAAAATTTTGTTTGACTTTTATTTTAGTCTTAAATATAAGACATCAATCCACTTTCTTTTTCATATTTATACTTTTTTCTGAGAAAGTTCTTCTAATAATGATAGTTCTAGCCAATACACTTGATTAGCAATGATATTTTAGGAAAGACAACACCTATTCATTACAAATAACTAACTTAACTTATTTCCTTAATCTCTTCAAATTAGTCAACTAGCTCTTATAATTAAGACCGCAGGTAGTATATTCTAATTGCATTTTTTTTAGCACGCATGGATACAAATTGACCTGAGTTAGAAATTATGCGCATGGGCAGAAAGATAAGATAACCACTATCTACAGATTACTTTTTGATCTTTTTAATATTTACCACATCAATGGTTTGTGAAAACCAAAGAGCTAGCTTGACAATATTCGCTGTGTTTTAATTTCTTTTTAATGCAAGGGAATATAATGATGGAGAATATAATAGAGTGTAATGCTGATTATCATGGGTTTGTTTAACACTAATTGCCGTATTTAATATAAGAGCTTGTTTAACTTTTATTTTGGGAAAATGACAATAAAATACCACTTGAATTCCAAAAAGACAGATAAGAGACCTGAATAAGCAAAATGACAAATAGGGCACTGGGTACCAATCTGGAATTCATATTTTCGGCCAAAAGACCAAAATACCCTGATGAAATGGGGGAAGACCGAAAGCTGAAAGTGAGAGAAAGGAGAGAGGAAGACCGACGCAGTGAGAGAAAGGAGAGAGGAAGACCGACGCTG